CTTCCAACATAAAATGGAAGTCCATTAGCAATACTCCCTACCATGCCATTTAGGTGTCAAAAATTTAAATTTGGAAGAATAAATTGTTCTCGCCCATTTCTCTCTTTACTAATATTGCAAAATGAGATTTCCTTGATAGGATAAGAATCATTCATATTTCCGCAATCACTTGTACACCTTTGCTTCTTTTTTCGGCATAATGATATCAATCATCGATTCAAAAGGGAAAAGAATACAACTTGTTGACTCAGAAGTCAGACAGTATAGTGCATATGAGTGCAAGTGCAGACAAACTAAAAGGAATAGCAAGATCGTATCTTCTAAAATAAATAAAACCAAAAAATAAGAATTGAAGCCTTAGAAAACAAATTGTATAATTAAAAGGGCAAAAGGTTGTTACTTAACTAAATAAGACAAATTCATAACATTATAGCTCACTCACCAATAAGCAAATTGTTTTAAAACCCAATCCATATAGTTCATCCTGCAAAGCAAGACCTTCTAGCCAAAGAATTTAATCTTCTTCGGAATTTCAATTTCCCACAATGTGAGGAAAGAGGGACAACCAAGGGAGAGGAATTGCTTACATACAGAAAAAAGAGTTATAGGAGAACCTCTTCGATGGGTTAGGAGTCCAAATATGGCAATCCCTACTACCAAGGGCAAACACAAACCCGCCAAGAAAAGAAAGAAGCTCCACAATAACCGTCATTTACCCATCCAACAAGGAATATTGGAATCCCAAGGGAAGAACACGAATGAGAAAGAATGGATGCAGCTTTTTAAAAGAAAAATGATAAAGGTGGGGAAATCTAGAACAAAGAAGAATATCGCCAACCAGGTGCCTTCCCAAAAATAAGTATGGACCCATTACCTGCTAGACATTAAACAAACTAGGAAAATAAGGTAATCCTAGAAGAGGTCACTTTCCAAGGGTTCCTAAAAGTTTCATTCAAAGCCTCAAACCCTTACTCAAGGCTCATTTAAAATAGTGAAGAAACACGATAGCCACTTAGCCAAGAGAACTTTGTTCCAACACCTCAAGTTCTATCCACTCAGAAACCTCATCCCAGCTCACCAAATGAGACCCTCACCCCTCATCTTCATATCTAACAAGATGTAATTAACTTGACAATTGTGTTCAATAAAGTTACCATCAACAGAAAGAACTTTTAATAGATAAAATGTAATTATTTTTAAAATAAAAATAGATATAATTGTAAATATTGTCATAAGATGGGTAGGAATCATCCCAAGTGTTTTAATCGTGCGAAACTTCACCAATTTTCTATTAACTTTTTCCTTTCCTCTCTACCTTTGTTATGGACCGCATTCAAAGGCATTCTTCTCTCTTGTTAAGGCCATAATAGTGATAGTGCATCCATCGCAAGGAGATATTGGAGGGCATGGGTCAAATCCTTTGGAGATGCAAGTTCACTAGCTTGATTTGCGACTCCTTTTGAGAAGCGTGAGTATGGTTAGCAATAGAGATTGTCAGCTTACGCTGGAGGAGATGTTATTCCACCCACCCTTTCATGATAAGTGTAAGTTGGTGATCTTATGCAAATTATTTGTTTTTCAATTTTGTGGAATCTTTGGCTAGAAAGGAATGAGAAACTTTTCAAGGGGTTTAGGAAGATCGAAGGATAAGGTGTGGGCCTTACCCAGATTTAACGTCTCTGCATTTGAGTCTAAAGATTTTTGTAACTATTCTCTATTATTTTGGATTTGAGGCCTTTTTTTTTTTTATCACCACAGATCTTTAGTTATGGTCGGGCCCTCTTTTTGTTGGGCGTTGTGTTTGCATGTCATTTATATTCTTTCATTTATTCTGGATGAAAACTCTGATTCTAGAATTATTATTATAATAACAAATAAATAAATAATAAAGAAGATAGTTATAGTAAATACAATATCGGAGAGTTATTTCATTTTTCATTGATTTCACTTGAATTTCCCTTCAAATCCATTCCTGAACAGAACACTGCAATCACTATGAAAATAGACTTATCATAGTACCTGAATAGCATCCTTTGAATAATAGCGTCCATCTCCAGATACAACAAGTGTAGCACCTATATCCATAAATAAAAGTTTATAACTAAATGAACGTGCATAAAAGTAATGCTCCAGTAGAAAACGGAAGATAGGTAATTAAGAGTAGAGGTTAAGTGAAGGAACTAATGAGAAGGCCAACAAACGAACTATAGTTAGATATTGAATTCTGTATCTGGACAGAAGATCAAAAGTTGAGTTGAGACCCAGGCGTAAAGTCAAGAGGGAGGAGTCAAAGGGCTCTATGCAGAAAGAAAATGCGAGTAAAGAGAACATCACTGGAACGACTGGAAGTAGGAAAATAGAATGTTGGCACCTAATTTGTTTGTCAAGTAAGGCACAAGCACCACCATCAATGCTAAACAGGTAAAGATTAGGAGTTCGTAATGATGAAATTGATTAAACACATCATAAACAAATTAATAAATAAAGAAAAGAGGTAGGTCCGAGAAATTTTGGTCATCAACAGACAGTAAAGAATTTTTTTTTTTTTTTTTTTTTTCTCATCTAAAGGATGTATTCCCATAATTGTTTATCTTCAATTATTAAGGTAGTAAACCAAAAAGGGGTGAGCATACTTACTTTCCAGTTTCCACACAATACTTATGGTAGGGGAAGTTTGTTGTAGTTCTAGGATTGTGTAAGATAAATATATGCAATCACTAGAGCATCTTATTGCACCTCTTTCTAAAAGCTATTCGGGTGATTGATCAAACGCATCATAAAAAGCAATCAGTTCTACGTAATAGGGAAGTTAAATTTTAAATGAAAGAACCAGTACCTCTGACTTTTTCAGCAGTTAGTGCGTTAAATGTTGACTGAACAAAATTCTCCAAGTACTCCGGTTGAATGAATACTTTTACCTGGTGGAAAAGGTCCAGTCACATAATATCAAATTAAAATGTGCAGAAAACAGTGCAAAATCGTATTGTGTATAGATCAAGTGGCATCCGGAGTAATTATACTGTCAAATTGGCGGATGAAAACAGATAAAAGATTATTCCCTTTGTCAAATTTTCTTTTATCTCATTAAATAGGAATTATCACGCAGCATGGCCGATGATTGAGATGCAAAAATACTTTTCCAAGATGATCTACTTTAGCTACCATAACCATTCTAAGGCAGTTAATTAAGGCACCAGATCTAGCGCAGTTTTCCAATATGATCGAACTCGGAACATCCGACAATGTTGAAGAGAAGTACAAAACTTAAACAATAGATAATGGATTCAAAGAAATAGGAAAGCGGAAACGATTTAAAATAAGAGAGGTCGATTTCTTTGATTGGAGAGAAGAACACAAACCAACACGTGATGTATCCTATAAAAACATGGAGCGAAATAGCTAAGAAAATCAAGAAGATGCAACGCACATGCATCACTCAAAAAACACAACATGAGCGCACCAAATTAATAAAGCTCAAAGACGCAAGCAGAGAAATCATGAACAGTGAGTAAATTATTTAAAAGCACAATAGAAAACCATAGCCAATCAATCAATAAGGAACTCAGAATCCTTCTCCTACACATCAACAGGAGATGTGGTCGAATGAAAATCACAATAGATGAGTAGGAATTACGAAGCAGCTGGATCCAAAAACAATGCAATTAATAAATCCGAAAAATCAAAACAAGAAAGTGCAATCAATCGAAGTAGAGGCAGTATCCCGATGGCGATGGGGAAATCATAGACGAAAATGCGAGGAAAGGAAGGCAAAATGAATGAAGAGAAACAACCTTCTTGCGGAGGCCAGAAGTACCGGGCTTCTGGCCATCGATAGGGGCGGTGTGCTATGCTACCCCATCTATTCGTTACAGATGAAAATACGGATCCATATCACAAGAGTGCTGAGGGAATGTTTAGACGAATCCGTATGTCGTCCATTCCTAGTGGGACCTACAACAATGACCTTGTGCTCTACTTGTTTCTTATGCTCACAATGTGTATCAATTTCATGGAATGCACATGCACAAACAAATCTGGTCTAACAATCTTAACAAATTTTATTATTGGGGTCATAGGTAGATTAAATGTGTTTGTTGGAATTGGAGCCAAAGCCAAAATTCAAATGGGTTGGGCCCAAAGCCAACTAAGCTCAACCCTACACACGTCATCAAAAGATCCAAAGAACACATTTAAGGAAGAAGAAAGTCAAAAGATTCTTTGAAACTCTTAACTAATCTTCTTTCAAGATTAGAAAGACAAAATCTCTTTTAAACACTTGAATTATTTAAGAGGTCGATCATATAAGAACATCAATATACATTAATTAGAAACCAATGGAACTCCAATTAGAAATTAAAAATTAAAAATTAATTTCAAATTTGAAAGAGAGGGAAATTTCATGGAATAAAATTGAAGTAAAAAATAATAGTTTTGAAAGGAAAAAAACCATAATAACAACACGACAGAGTTTTTGTGGATACTAGGCATTAATAGAAAGTGTATTGCAAAATGGTAAAAATTAAAAAATAAAAAAGAAAGAGGAAAAATATATATATATATATATATAGCCAAAAATTGAAAAACAGGAATTGTGTGAAAATCTGAGGCGTGCAGCCCAAAAGTAATTTTGCTGACACTAAACAGGACAGCATTACCTGTAAAGTTTTTTGCTTTCTTCTATAGTTTTTAAATAAAAATCTAACCATTTATCATTCTTTCTTTACCATTTAATTTAATTTAATTTAATTTTTTTTTTTGGGTTGGATGCCACGTCATCAATACCTTCACCTTATTTTTTAACTTTAAATTTAAGGGAATCCTTTTATTATTTAAAAATTAAAATAATAAAACTATCTATACCTATCCCACGAGAACACTATGGAATTTGCTATAAAGTGAATCAAATAAATGCTCAAATTAAAGTTAAAGTGGTCATATAAATTAAGACCATTTTCTTTTTTTTTTTTTCTTTTTTGAGAATTTAAAGAAATGCGGAAAGAGGAGGAAAAAAAAAGCCTGAACAGTCGTTAAAATTAAATTACATGCAATTACAGTCTCCTAACCCCCACCAGAATTACAGCCATTCAGCACCCGCCACGTAATGCACAGAAGAAGAAAGAAAGAAAAAAATTAATAATTTTTAAAATTAGGAAAAAAAAATAAAAAAACAGAGCAATTCCCGGAGAGATCGACCAGCTAAACACAACCTAAACAATTTCATCTTTTTCTCTCTCTATCTATCTCTCTCTCATCCTCTGTTTTTTTTTAATCTCCACTCAGCACCCAACTGGGGCGACGGCTGGCTTAATCTTCGGCGGCCGCCCTCTACCTCGGGGCGGACTAGCAACCGGAACCGACGTCGGCGCTGGCTTTGGGTACTTCGGAGGGCGGCCACGTGGCCTTCCACTTCCCGAGGAGGGTTTCTTCTTGGGCTGCGAAATGGGAGCGAATGGATCTCTGGATTTGGGTGGGCGGCCACGTGGGCGTGGAGGAGATACGACGGTGCCCGGCGGGAGAGGGACTTTAGGCTTGGGAGGACGACCACGCCCACGCTTCGGCGGCGCGTTGGGATCGGGTTTCATGTAGTTGTTTTTGACGAAGAGGAGTTGGCCGGTTTGCTTCATGACGTCCAAGTGATGGGTAAGGAGCGTAGTGAAAGCTGGGGGCAGATCGCCGTAGGTGGACTCGATCTGCTTCGTAAGCACCGATTTGCTCACTCCGTTTTTGTCGTTGAGAGCGTCGATCGCTGACATAATCATCTGTGAAACAAATTCCCAAAATTTAATCAAAGACAAAATTGACGAAATGTAAACAGAGCGTGGAGTGGTAAAATTAAGGCACCTCGGGGTAGTGAGGGAGTGAGGGGGCCGGAGGAGGTGGCTGCGGTGGGTTGTTGAGTTGATCGGCAGTGGCCATGGTGGCGACGGTGGGATTATGGATAGAGAAAAAGGAAGAGGAGAGAGAAACACTGTAGGTTTGGTGGGAAGAAGACGATGGAGGACAGGGAAAGGAGAGGATTTAAAAAGGGGAAATAGGTAGAGGAGGGGATCGGAGGGAGGAGCAGGACAAATCTGACGGCTGGGGATACAGAGCTAAGGGTTAGGATCCCAGGGTTGGAATTCATCTAATGCGGTTGTCCACACGGATCGTTGACGTGGACTGTGGGACCTACTTATCACGTCCCTTCTTTATTTATTTATTTATTTTTTTTTTTGTTTGTTGTTCTTTTGGTACCAAAAACTAGCTCCGAGTTTCAGATAACCACCACTCTCAGTATTCCGTGCTGTTCCTGCTCCTACGAGGATTATTTTTTCTAATTAAAAAAAATAATTAATTAACTTCATTTCAATCACATCAAACTCCAATTTTTATTTCTTTTTCTTAATTTCATGTTTTTTTCTTTTCCGCCTGCCTTCTTTATTTTATTTTGAGAAAATAAGAATATCATTGAAATTGTTCGGACCCACTTGAACTATCTCACCCAAATTATAATTATTATTGGGTTGGGTTAAATTTTTTTAATTTAAATTGGATTAAATTTTTCTAAAATAATAAATTTAATTCGATTAGTAGGTTGACATTTTTTTATCAATTCAACTTTACCAATCCAAAAATATTTGACATTTGTAAGTGATCGTATTATAATTTATAAATATTTAATATATTGATATTTATAAGATTTTAGTTAATAATATAACATGTACAGTGGATAATTACAATTTTTTTAAATAATTTTTTTAAAAAAGAGAGCTACATGACAGACAAATCTAAAAATTTTAGTTGTTTCAAAAAATTTCTTAAACTCAAACTTATATACACTCTTATTAAAATATTTTAATTTTATATATATATAGACGGGAGTAATGAAAATTAGTAGGAGAATAATTTAGGTAAGGTGAGTTTATGTAGGTGGTGGAATTAATAAACTCATTGCACGTGCCAATGAGATGAAAAACATCTTTAATTAATAATTGTGACCATTTATTAGTTTATGAACTTGGTATAGGAATGTTTAGCTTATGAGTCTACTAGGTATAGCCTAAGATAATAAATTACGTCTAGTCTAGTTTGTTGAATGAATACCTTGCTATATAGGTGTGGAAAGATAATTTTTTTATCTATTCCGTCTTTATTTGCAATAGAATCACCCATTATTAAATGTGAAACCATAAACGACTTCTAAGTATATAAGTTAATTAAATTTTAAAAGTTAATAGTTTTATTCATACCCTCAAATTAGAAAAAACTTAATTAAAATAAGTTTATAAAATTATTAATTAACACCTCGAATATTAATTAACTTGAAACTTATAACAAACTGGTAAATTTTTTAGAAATTTGTTTATAAAAGCATATAAATGAAGAAATTGTGCTTAAATGTTATATTCTTACGACTGTATATGCCATGTATGTAGTTATATATATATATATATATAACTAATTTTTTTTCTTTTTGTTCATAACTATTTCCTTTTTTATTTCATTTAATCAACTCAAAACTATTTAAATAATAATTTTAATATAAAAAACATATCAAAGTAACAAGAAAAATTATCTCATAATTTTTCTAAACCAGTGAAAAAATAGGTGAAAAATAAAATAATTTTTAATATATATATATCTTTTTTTTTTTTTTTTTTTTGAAAAAAAATGTGAAGCTTTAATCTTTTAAGTTGATTTCTTTCTTTTTTTCGTCTCTGGTCATTTTTTCTTCTTTTGTTAGTTGAAAAGTTAGAAGCTCAAAATTTTCACTTTAAATTTGAATTTTTTTTTCCGTCCCTTCTCATTTTTCTTCTCTTGGTTCGTTGACCACTTATCGGGATCAATAATCTATCCCCAATATCACTAACCTTAACTATTTATATTAGAAGTTGATTAATAGTAACGTTATTTAATAATTAGTTTAATTATTTTCTAAATTTCAAGTTTATGAAATTTGAAAATGAAATAAGAATTTATTAACAAAGATAAAAGTGTATTTTCCGTGGAAAAAGGGTAAAATTGATTATTCATAGGACTTTACGAATTGCAGTGTTGACTTCATGTCTAAGAGTCCACCTCGGTCCCGAGGGACAAATAGAGCTACTGATGAGTCATCTTGTACCCATTTAAATGTCCCAAAACTTTGGCTTTGACTTTCAAGCATGGCATTGTTGTAATTTCTATAAGGTTTTCGGGTGTTTTGGGAATTAAATCACTGTCTTGTCGTTTTGTATGATTAAATAAGTTTTTTTTTTGTTTTTTTTTTATTTTGTGGGTCCTACTTCCTTGTGTGCATTTTCAATATAATCTTTTTTTTATAATAAAATATATATTTGTTTTCATGTCAGCAATGAAACTTTACCATAAGAGTATTATTCAATTATGTGAGGACTCTCATTTATGCTTTATGAATGTAATCATCATGTTTAGGATTCAGTTTAACATCTTTCGACACTCATTTACATCTATTCTTTATTTTTTAGTGTGGAAATTATACCCACAAATCAATATGAGTTATTAAAGTATGTTTTGTTCTTCACATGTATCCTAGAAAAAATCTTAAGATAAACGTACAAGATAAAATTGTTCCAAGTAAAACACATTTTATCATAAAGTTTCATAATTTAGACACAGAGAAAAAAGTGTACTTGGTATAGATAATAACTTTCATTTTTTTAAATTTTTTTTTAATCATCATATTTTCAAGATTTCTCTTATTAGATATAGTATCAGGTCATTTATATACCTTATATTTACTCATTTGTCACAAATTATTTATTTTAAATAAAAATAAAAATATCTCTAAAAGAAACTCGTAAGGGTTAATTATAAAAATAATAATAATAATAATAATTCTATCTTATTTCTAGACACATTGGTTTAAATTTCTTTTCTTTCTTAAACAATTAAATTTAGGTTCATTTAATCTTAATCTTCCATTAATTGTAAAATTAATGTTGCTTAAAAATAAATTAAAAATACCTTCTAAATTATATTTACAAATCACTCAAATTAAAGCTACAGAAATGGTCCAAAACTCATTCGTGAAAACCTCAACCTTAAAAAAGATCTTGGAATTAGTTTGGGAATACGGTAACTGGAACAATTTCTACTCTTATTTACTTAAAAATTAGTTTGTTTTGGAATTAGTTATATTTACAAATCACTCAAATAAAAATATCAATGGTTTTGTCTTATACCATTTGAGCGGTTAGGAAATACATTTCGGACAACTCTAGCTTGACTTCTCAGCTCGTTCGACTTGAGTCTGATATGACCGAACCCTTTTATGTCATGTTTGACTCTTTGGAAGCTATTTTAAAAAAAATTAGGCGTTTAAGGTTAGTATGCTTATGCAAATTAGGTGGGTTAATTTTCAATATAGAATTTAAAGTTATGACTTTGGGACTCCTAAGGTAGAGTTAGATTTCATAACTTCAGACTCAGGCCAAACAGACAAGTGGCTCTACCGTTAGTTTGAGTGGATGAATTATATGATATATGATAACATGTGTCTATGGTTCTTGCACTTGTCATAATTATGATTGTTATGTTATATTATGTTGTATTATGCTAAGTCATTTTATGTTATACTATGTTAAGTTATGTTATGCTATGTCGTGTTATGTCATGTTTATAAATTATGTCATGGTGAAGAATTATGTTATGATGTTGCTAATCCATGATGTATAAACTTTTATACCACATCATGTAAGTTATGTTATGGAAGAAAGATTTGATAGGAATCATGTAAGCATGATTCATAGACTTTTTGTGTTATAAATGAAGAGAGGTTTGACTTGTTCAATATATACTATGTTGTAACTTTAAGATATGAGGAGCTCATTCATTTTTTTGTCACATGCATTTGAATACTTTCTTCTTATGTTTAGCATGGACAAGTACCTTTCAACATTTATATTTGTCATTATATTACGAGGGCCCTTTCCCTCTATGGCATCCAGCATCCCATTAGTGTGTGCTAGCTCGATAAGCGAAGCCCAACAGTAGGTATACAAACCCGTCTGGTAGGTCAACGTGCACGTGTGCAGATTGTATTTAGGGAAGTATTACACATTCAACCCTATCTGGACTAGAAACCAGCCTAATACCATGTCAGGATGTTTTTAAAAGGATAGATCTCACTCTCACTCTATTGCATGTGTTTACATTTCCCAACCTGCAGTGTGCTACTGAGTATTTCTTAAAATAGTTAAGTCACACTATTCTAATTTTTCAAGTGGAGGTAAGGCACCCCTATATGTATGACAGCGTTGCAACGAATGTCATGGAACCAGAGTTACGATATTTGCTTTCATATCTATTTGGTAGGTCTTAGGTTAGATCATAAATTTTCTTTACTTATGTATATTCACGTTATATATAATAACACCTCTTTATTTTATGACATATATAAGGTATTTATTACTCAAATTTCAAAAGATTTAAAAATTTAATTAGATGACACCTAAAGATTAATTGATTATTAATTAATATCATAATCTGATCCAAATCCTTCCTTCTCATTTACGTACCTTTAGTTTATTAAAAATAAATAATATTAAACAAAACTTGTTTTCAAAGTAAGGTTATCAAATAAATTATTTAATAACTTCTAAACATCTTAGTTTATTAATTGCATCTTTTATCTTAAAAAAAATTAACAAGTATGTGAAATTAATATCATAGAAATTTTTTTTATTAATATTTATAACGTCATTCATATATTTATTACTAATGATGTGTTATGAAAAGGAAGAGATTTATATTCTGTCATGAAATTACAAACTAAATTAGTAGTATATGTTTAACAAAAAGATAGTCTAACAATGTTTCAAATTTGTGTCAATGGATTAGTTCGATCTAAAACTTGAGATAATGGGTGTAATCCGAAAAAAGATTCCAACGTGGTTGGTAATAGAGAGGTAAAAATATTTTAGTGTCAAGATTTTGTGTAAATGTGTTGAAATCAGAATTAAAATTTAATTTACTTAATAACTAAAATACTATAATAATAATAAAAAGTTAACATCTAAAACTAGTATGAATAGTTCACGTAAAAACAAATGTTTTCACTTGTAAGTTATGATATGCATACACTAGAAAACACGTCGTAGCTTGTTTGATGAGTCATAGGCCAAGTTCGAGAGAAGGATGCAAG